TTGGGTATCTGTAGTCTGAGCAAATTTCCTAAATATGTTATTTAGTGGGTCAAGTGTGGCTTCAGTTCCTCTCCGGACTGTGTAAAACAACAGGAAGTGTTCAGGCCCGGAAAGACCAAGCCTTAGGGTGGCCCCCTAGGTGAGCCAGTTAGTTAATTACAGTTCAGTTGGACCTTCCTTATAGGGTTCCTGCACTTCTGACACCTCCACAAAGATTCTTAATCATCTGCGAATAACCAAGAATTGGACTGCAGGGAGGATGTGCCCCTATATCTTATGAGCTGATGAGTTCAGCTCATTTATACAGCCAGGGTTTTTTGCTCAGACTCTCAGAAAGCAATTCCAATTAAAAAGTAAAAATCAAAATGAGCCACCCATTTTTTTTCCTCCAGTCCCGCCTTAGCCTGAGTTCTGTCAACCTTTAACCTGGGTTCTGTCAACCCTTCACTTTAATTCCACCTCAACGATTTTAAGACACAGCTCAAATAAAGTTGAAACCTCTACCAATAGAAGAGGAAGGTCCTGGAACCAAGGGATAACTCACCCATGTTCACCCAATGTGCCGAGAACCAGCGGGCTCAATGGGTCTTTGCTGGACCCTACAACCAAGTCCGGGTCTGCTGGAAGGTCCTCTGTGAGCTTCTTTAGAATCCTTCCATGAATACTCCAAGTAATGTTAACTTAAAAACATTCAACCCTGTAAAGAATTTGTGTGAGTTTATTTAAGCCAAAATGTTGACAATTGCTGGGAAGCAGTATCTCAACGAATTGGGATAGTGCTACAGAGAATAGCGGGTGTTTTTCATTTATTTTTATACATTGCAAACACAGTAGGGGACCTAGGTGGGTTACATGAAATCCATTGGTGAAAGATTAGAGAGGTGGGAGAAAGTAAAGTGGGGAAACCTTGGGGGCTATATAAAAAGTAAAATGATAGACACATACTTAGATGGTGCAGGATAGTTAATAGTCAACAACTAACATGATTACAATAACAATGAAGGGATTTGTGGTATCTGTCCTGATGCCCAGGCACATTAGGTTGTGCCCCAAGATGTCCGGAAAAAGGGAAGTTACAAGTTACCCTGACATTTCAAGGATATGTCATCATAGATGCAAAAAAACAGATAGGCCCAGTTACGGTAATGGTAGACCTTGCCAGTGAAGATACCAAACTAGGATGTAACTTCCTACCATAACTGCTTTTATTTAAAGTATAATTTCAGATCATCCTTTGTGATTACTTTAGGACTCTGAGTTTGCAAAACCGCCAGGCAGGCCTTCCCTGAGCTTGTCAGGTTAACATGTGGCCCCTTTCATCCACATGAGTCAGAATCTGCATTTTTAGCAGGACCTAGAGACCCTCCCTATGCACAGGAGATGGGGAGGGGAGTCCCCATCCCCACATCATGGGGTCTCATTCTGGCTGGGCATCCACTACAGCTAGGCAGCTGCCAAAACAGCATTTCTAACATGGCCCCTGGGCATTGAAATCTTTAGAACCTTCCATTGATAATACCATACACAACGGAGTGGCATCCCAGTGACCAGAACTCCTGATGTCACCCCAGGCTTCTGCTCTGAAGATAGGAGACAAATGGGGATGAGAGAAGGTGGTGAGAAGGCTACTGTGCGCTCCACGCAGAGCTGTGGGAGACACCTTGGATACATACACCCCAAGTTTCTGCTTGTCTAATTGTGAGCGGTGAAAAGGCACCAGGGGTTAACCTGCAGAGTTATATGTGTTCTCAGTTCAGCAGCCTCAGTACTTGAGTTCAGCTAAGAGAAGAATTCAGAGTCAAGAACTCAAATTATAAGAGAGAGTTTATTTAGAGAGTCACAGAGGTAGAAGTGAGATGTAGCAGAAATTGGCTCAGGAAACTAGTCACTGAAGCAAAAGAAGGATCCATGGAGCTTAGGACAAAGAATAAATATAAGAGCCTTGAGGAGAGGAGTGGGGACAGCCATGATGTGTTCCAGAGAGAAAGAGCCCCACTGGGTCCTTCTTCTTGAGGGTAGTTGTCTGGAGGTCTCAGGGGAGAAGCCCAATAAAATATTCATTGGCTTTCCAGGTGTGTCCTTTAGCGTCGAAGGTCATTAGTCAATGCAGTAGATCTTGATGTCAGCTATGTCCTGACTCATCTGATTTTGCTGCTTTTCTGGGTCTGGAGCTGAAACACAACTGAGGCCTAGATGTATTTGATGCCAGTCAGAACCTCATTGTCCTGGGGGCTTAATGCTGAAGGGCTATGCTTAGATCCTCTGGTTTCTTTCACACTAAGGGCATCTAATCCACATGGTTAAAAACATGCCAGGGGAGGAAAGGTCAGGGGAGGGCCTGAACCACATGACCAGTGATATAAAAGATCAAAGGGCCTAAACTGCAAAACCAGGATATGCCCAGGGAGGTAAGGTTACCCAGGGGACAAGGTCCCAGTCCAGTTTTGCACATTGCTAGGTACCAGGGGCTTTCCATTCTGGTGACCTTCCCTACAGGCCTAGTGTCCTACTCTGCTCAGGCCTAACTGCCTACTACACAAGCAAGGTGTGTGTGTGTGTGTGTGTGTGTGTGTGTGTATAGGGAAAGGAGTCACTGTGGAAGAAGGCAGAAGCCTCAGCAGTTACAGGGAATGAAAATGTAGAGGAATGAAAAGGGAGGCAGGAATAAGGGGAGGGCAGGAAGGAACTTGGGTACAGACCCCGCCCCTGGCCCATGTGACCAGGGAAGTGATCTTGGCCCAGGAGGAGGCTCAGTGCACAGGGAGGAGGAACAGCACATCCCACCCAGCAGGGCAGCGTTTGTGAGCATTTCTGGATTCCAAGCTCTTCCCACAGAAGGAGGGGCAGAGCAGGCAGCAGACACCATGGAGTCCCTCTCAGCCCCTGCCCACAGAGGACTTGCCCACAGGCAGGGGCTCCTGCTGGCTGGTGAGAGGGGGCAACTACCTGGTGGTGGATGGGAGGAGGAGAGGCACAGGCTAGCTGGGGATGCCTGGGGAGCACAGGCTCTCAGAGAAAACAAGGGGGAGGGGACAGGATTCTGTTTGGACTTGAGGGGAGAAGACATGGGAGCAGGGTAGGATGGGGGAGGCGACTCGGCAACAGGAAAATGATGAGGAAACCATGAGGGGCAGGAAAACCTCAATGGCTGCTCATTTCCCAACTTATTCATCACTGAGAGCTGAATGCTGAAAACTTTACATAATAACAATTTATGTGAGGAGATAGGAAATGTAACCAGGGGCACTAAACATTGCCCTCAGCACCAAGCTGAGAATTGGGCAGATACCTCCCAGGAGGTGCAGGACTCTGCAATACTCACTCATTCACCCACAGGTACTTACAGCCTGTTGCAGGCGCTGGGAGTACAATAAGATCAGACAAGCCCCTGCCCCCATGAAACTCATGTTCTAAGGGGAGGTGGCAGACAAGGGAAGATCTAAATGTGATGTTAGGTCCCCACAATGCCATGCAGGGAACAGAGCAGGGACAGGTCAGAAAGTGAAGACAGGTCTGTAGAGGAGGTGGTCAGGGAAGGGGTCTCCCAAGGACACCCCTGAGTGTCAGCAGGGGTCTGAGGGCAGACACCTGGGTAACAGTAATCACAACAGAGGAAATACTATGGAAACTGGCCAGAAGAAAAATTAGAGCTTCTAGATAATGAAACAGTAGAGAGTCTTAATTCATCTGGCCAAACATATCATAAGGTACAAATGACAATGGATGAAGGAGGAAAACATGTAATTAGACTTAAAAAATTATGATAATACGTGTAAAGAGTTTTAGGTTGGCTGGGATGCTTGTTCCCCTCGGACTTCTCCTTGTCTAGTATTAGACATTTTAACTTCCTAATCAGTGTTACTGGTTTATTGTTGTTACTTTTGTTCCTGGTATGTAAATGTTATATTAGATGCAGAAAAACAAAACTTGACAAACAGCAAAAAGACTCGGATAATGGTGGCTCAAAATGAGAAATGATCCAGAATACTTTCTAACAAGGACATATAGGATCTGACTGCCTCCCATTTACCTGCCCTTTTGAATACTAATAATTTAATCTTAAATGCCATCTAAGGTTATGGTCTTGCCCCATCCATAGTGGTCCATCCTGTTCAGCAAGACATGCTGACACTGAGACATCCTCGAATGAGCCTTCCTAGCACCCTGAGACTCCATTGTCCAACCAAAAGGTTGGTCATCAATGCATCCTTTAGATTGATTTATGATCAAAAGGGGGATGTGTGGACGAAAGGGGCCATATGCTAACCTGACAAGCTCAGGGGAGGCCTGCATGGCAATCTTGCAATCTCAGAGACCTAAAGTAACCTAAAGGAGGGTCTGAAATTAAAGTTTAACTAAAAGAAGTTATGGTGGGCAGTTACGTCATAGGCTGGTATCTTCACTGACAAGGTCAACTTTACCTTAATTGAGCCTATCTTTTTGCATCTGTAATAACATACCTTTGAAATATCTGGATAACTTGTAACTTCCCTTTTTCTGGACCCCTTGGGACACAACAAAATGTGCTGGGCCCAAGACAGATACTGCAAATTCCTCCATTATTCCTGCACCCACCTAAGTATGTGTCCATCATTTTTCTTTTTATCCAATCCCAGAGATTTCCCCACTTTACTTTCTCCCGCCTCTCTAGGCTACACCAATGGATTTCATGTAATCCACCTACGTCCCTTGCTTTGATAGCAATGTATAAATAGAGATATAACCAGCCATTCTCCAGAGCATCATCTCAACTCATGGAGGTTCTGCTTCCTGGCATATGTTGACAGTTTGGCTCAAATAAATTCACAAAAATTCTTTACAATTATTAAAAAACAAACAAACAACAACAAAAAACAGAGGAAATAAGGTCAGAGGTGCTGAAGTATTGGTGGCCATGTTGCTGAACTTGACCACAGAAGACACACACACACACACACACACACATATACACACACACTGACCAAGGCTGAAAGATGAAGAGACTAGCTGAAGACCCAAAGCATCATCTCTCCTTCCCAATACATAGCTCCAAATCTTGATCAATTTCTCTCTTCCCTCCTAGCCTCACTCCTAACCCTCTGGAGCCTGCCCACCACTGCCCAGCTCACTATTGAGTCAGTGCCGCCCAATGCTGCCGAAGGGAAGGATATGCTTCTCCGCGTCCACAACCTGCCTGGGAATCTATTCGGCTACACCTGGTACAAAGGGGAAATACCGAACAGCAGCCGTCAAATCATATCATATGTAATAGACACTCAAACAATTACCCTCGGGCCTGCAAGCAGTGGTAGAGAGATAATTTACCCCAATGGATCCCTCCTGTTCCATAACGTCACCCAGAAGGACACAGGATACTACACCCTACTAGCCACAGGGAAAGATTTACAGAACAAACTAGTAACTGGACAGCTTCATGTATACCGTGAGTGATTGCTCTCTGACATCTGGGTGTCAGGTGGGGTGAATTCTACTTCACACACAGGACTGACAGCCCTAGACTCTGCCTCGATGGCCCTCTGCATCATCTCCCTGGTTGGGTTTGGGCATTTAGTGCAGGACACACAGAGTGGAAAGGAACTTCCTAAGATTAGAGTTCCCTTCACAGATTACAGCCCTGCAGACATTCTCCACAGAGAGAAGTATGATGGGAGTGACTCAACAGAAGGAGACTCAGCAGAGTCTCAGTCCAGCCTCTAGCCCCCTACCCATGACCATGACAGTGAGAAAACCATGCAGAGCTTGGTCACACCCTAGCAGGAGGGGACCCTGGAAACCTCACAGAGAAGCTCAGCCTGAGAACCCCTCCCGGACCCTTGTCTCAGGGCTCCTGACTCCAGGGAACCTGGGGAGCCTGTGTCAGGTTGGTTTGACCTCCTGGAAGGGCTGGGTGGGAGCAGTGGCTCTACTCTTACTCACCAGCCAGGGCTCAGGCCCAAGAGCCACATTAGGACTGGGAAAGAGCCTAGTCTTCACCTAAGTCAGTGTCAGGAGAGCACAGATAGACAAAATACCCTGTATCATTAGCTGACTCTTCTGAGGGACTTAGGAGACTCCGGAGGGAGGTCAGGTCTCCAGGAAGGAACAGAGGAGAGAAGATGCTCCTGGCAGTTCCTTGTCCACCCGGGGTCAGCCCAGGAATTCTCTCTCATGGAGGCAAATAATGGCAGTGGCCATTTAAGTCAGTGTCTCCTCTATACTGGGCTTGTGGTCAAGTATTCATAAATGTTTTAAGGTCAATTCACAAACAAAATGGTTCCAGAGTCCATTTACCATTTGTTCTGTTTTTATTCAGGGGAAACGGAGGCACAGTGTGATACTTATTTGTTTCCTGATGTGTTGGTGCCACTCCCACATGCTATGAAGGAAAGGACTTTGCCTTCTCACTCTCCACCCTACACCTGCTACAAGTTCAGGGACCAGCACTCACTTGCTCTTTCATGAAGGAGCGAAGGAATGATGGTGAATGATGACAGAATGAATGAATGATTGAATGAATGATGCATAATCACTAGAGAGACTGGAACCTGGATGCAGAGTCCTAAAAGGATTTGGCCACACCTGTTCTCTGTCCCTACACATGCTGAGAGCCATGTCCATCCCTCTGACCACCTGTCCCTGAAGCTCCCTCAGGAGCCAAGTCCCTTGGTGACTGTGGGGCTGTTCCACTGTGGAAGGTTTTCTAAGCTGCATTGCTCCTGCCCTGTGGCAGCTGTGGGATCTTGGTCCCTGGGGTCTTTGAAGTCACTTTTAACATCTGCTGCTCACCAAGGACATTCTGCCTCTATCTGCTCCTTCTGTGTCCCTTATCTGCCTCCTCCTTCACTCCAGACACACTGCCCTGCTCTGCTCTGCTTCCCCCACTGTGCAGATTGTCCTGCTAACAGCTGTGTCCAGGCCCACCCTCCCGGGCAATAGGAGAGGACACAGATATCAGTGGGAGCAGCAGCCCCGGCTCCATCATGAGTCAGTTTCCCAGGTCACCAGGAGAAATAGCTTCTGCTGGGCCCCCATTCAGGGCTGTTTCCCCAGGCCCTGAGTCCAATGAGAGGAACAGGCCACGTGACAGGGGAATGTAAACCATTGACTTACTCTCTCTATGACTCAACCAGGGAGTCAAAGGCAGAAGGACAGGTCTCAGTCCCCAAAAGCACTCAGGCTCACTTCACCCCTGACTGGAGACTCACACCCTTGTCCTGGTGTGAGATTCCCATTCCTCCCCTGGCTCCTGAGACCTTCCCAAGGTGGGCCTGCTGACCCTGCACCATCTGACTGGTTCACTGCCTGTTTCACACACGTGTGTCCTTATGAAGGCACCTTGACCACAGGGAGGGATCCTCTAAGACTGTGAGATCCACCAGCCACTCTCCTTTCTCTCAGACGCTGCCCAATTTGAATGAATTTGACTAAACTCCAGTTGTTTCCTGAGTTAGAAGGAAAAGGAAGAGCACATGCCACAGGCCCGTGTGGGGGCTCCTCCCACCTGCCTGACTGTCCATAGAAATAGGGAGGGACTTTCTCCCTGACTTTACTAACATGGCTCATGTCCTTTCTCCCAATATGGTGTCATCACTCCCTTTATACAGCAGAGACACCTGGACACACCTCTTCCTCCCCATCCCCCTGACCACTTCTGTTCTCTTTGCAAGACTCACCTTCTCTCTATCCCAGGGAGTTCCTGATTTCAAACCCACTGTGGCATCTCCCTTTGGCCACAGTGTGACCTGGTTGGATGGCAGAACTTGGTCTGTGACCTTAATGATCTCTAGACAGAAATTCCTCTAATATCTGGCATTAGAAGTTTGTGGCATGAGTGATTTTCACATATTCTTTCACAGTTTAACTCAAAATCTATCTCATAACTGCCAAACACAAATGGACCATGAGGGCCATATTTTCAGCAAGTTCATGCTCCCCCACCTCCACAAGCCCCCCTTCTGTACGTGCTATTGTCTGCGTGTTGAGGAAGGATCCCTGCCCTCTGCAGTGGCAGAAAGGACATTAAAGACCAAGGGCAGAGAGCATGGCTCTGCTGCTACCGCCAGCCAGCTACTGCTGTCCCTCACTCTTTTCTAAATCATTCCTGGACTCTGCTCTGCCCTTTCTAGGGTCACTGTCTCATGTCAGTCACCAGTGAACTGCTGGGCAGATGGAAACACCTCATGGCCCTAGAGCAGCTGTAGGCAAACTACAGCCCGTTTGAAATGAATAAAACTAAAAAAAAAAAAAAAAGACTATACCCTTTTATGTAATGATGTTTACTTTGAATTTATATTAGTTCACACAAACACTCCATCCATGCTTTTGTTCTAGCCCTCCGGTCCAGTTTAAGAACCCATTGTGGCACTCGAGTCAAAAAGTTTGCCCACCCCTGCCCTAGAGCCTTGGTATTAAACTCACCACCAGACTTGCTTCTGGTCTCCTGTGTATTTTTTCTGCTCAGACACCCAGTTCAGGATCACACTACACAGTCCCCTCAGGGTTTAAGGATATGGGGTGGTCCATCATTACTCACCTCTAGAATAACCCTGGAATGTGAGTCTTCAGAGAAAACACATCTCAACCCAGCAATGAAAGTCTGTGTAGCTGAAAAGACACTCAGCTCCTGCACATCCAGGTGAGAAGCCAACATCAGCCAGGCAGTCAGCTGATCAGTGAGGAGCCAGGACAGGTGCCAGGTGGTCTCTGACTCCCAGTCCTATGTCTTTCTGAGATCAAACTCTGATAGTTATCTGACACCTGAAAAAGTCTATGCTTTTTCTCCCAGACATAGAGCAGACGGCCTTACAATCTCTGAGCGCTCAGCTCCTCATGCATTTGTTTGTCTTGTGATGCACAGACCTGCCTTATTTCTTTTAGTGAGTTCTAAAGTTGGTTGAGAGGTAAGAGGTACCA